ATACGTCGAGAACGTTTCATCAAAGTCGGTTTTCAATTGCTTTTCTGACACCAATGCTAAATTTACGAATATCTCTTCGAGCGGAATGAGTTCATCCGAAGCGAGTCCGCCGCTCAGCTGAACTCCTGACTCTTCGGCCTGTTCCAATAGCTTCTTTTTAGCTTTGACCAGTGAAGGCAGCAGAGGCTTTCGCTTTGCGGCGGGCTCCTCAGCGGCCATGTCATCCATTGCTTTGAAAACGCGCCGCAACCGTGAGGTGCGTGTGAAAGTCGAACGCCCAGTTTCTGAGTTCAGTGAGGGAGATCTGACGACAAGAATGGAATGGCTCTTCGCGCAGGACCATTGCGTACAGTCACACGGATACAGGCTAGGCGCGGTACAGTACCACTCAGGCACAAGCTGTGTTGCGCAGCTCGAAACATGAATATTAATTTTTGATAAAATTACCTCAAGCAGCCAGCGCGGGTAAGTCGTGCTTCATACTCACAGCCATGATTGGTCCGGTGTAGTGCTTTGTTTTAGCAAATTAGGAAGTTCAAAAAGACAACAGGACTACAGAGAGCTAGAGGGTTGGGATCAGCATCGGAGATGAACTAGTTACTTTGATACTGGACGCTAATCTGTAGCGGTTTTTAAAAGTAATAATTATTCCAAATAATTAGGAATGTTCCTTCGCTAAGCTCAAAGTCAATATTTGTAGCAACGAAAGAATACTACTACTACTAGTATATCCGTGGTGAGTGTTGGAAAGACTTTCACTGTTTCTGCAGCATCTCACACACTCGTTGTGTACCGTGATGTGAACATAATGGGGCATACTCGTAAGTGCCAATACTCAGAAGAAGGACACACTTCGGGCTCTTGAACAACATCTTGAAAGTCTACACGCCTATTGTCAAGCCATCTCGTCAGGTAAAATACAGGCAGAAACAAAGGAAGAAGATTAGTGGATTATGAGCAGTAGAGAGGTAGGGTCCAGCGATTATGAGACTATCCGAGCATCAGAGCATTATGGAGCATTAGAAAGGAACAAGACGAGCATTATGTGAAGTTTGAGCGGCATTACGAGTTTCATAGTGGATAATGTCGGGAAATCTCAGGTTTTTGGCAACCGTGAATCGGCTAAAGCCATGAGGTACAACACCATGTACTGTACCGGCACATGTACGTGGCTTTGTGATTTTGTAGACACGTAACACCTTTAGCACTAAATTAATGCTACATCTGACCACATACTATGTATGGCATGTAATGCTACATTAAGTCTTTATGTAGCAATGTAGTCAGGTAAATGTACAGGTGACGTAGCATGTCCAACGTTGCAACTGAGGCTGTTACACAAAATCCGCAACGATGATTTACGAGTTCTTTTTTAGAAATCATGTAGAGCCATGGAGGAGACTAGACGTACATTGGACGCGAAGGGAATACTTCGAAGTATCAAACAGACGAAGAGGAGGTTTCCTGTTATGCCACAGGTTCTGGCCATGGCATCTCTAGCGAACTGACGTAAACATTGATCCATTGATAAATCTAGACCTGGATGAAGGAGCGGCTATAAAAAGAAAGAGCTAGTTTCAAATAACTGCCTTTGCCGAGTCAAGCTCAACAGGCTTGAAAAGAACAAGAATTTCTCATGGACGCAGTACCAAAAGACGATTTGAGTGCTCAGCAGCGCGTGTCTTACTGTCCTACTGTCGTACAGTTCGTTATGGACGATCGTAATGGAAGGCCTACAGTCAAGTGCTATCAGAAAAGAAGAGTATTGTGGCCAACCACTTGTCCCCACACAACCTCAGGAGAAGAAGACAGCGCGAGCAGAGGATGTAGAGCGGCAAAATAACTTCTGACCACGTGTTTTCAGGATTTCCGCAAATGGGAGGGATCTCGATCTGAGATCGTCTCCCAGGAACTGGCCTCACGTGAGCAGCTTCAGATGAAGACATTTTTCACAGAGTGGAAGCAGTGACAGCTTGTCTGCAGGCAGGAATACCACTTCCCATGATATGCTTCCAGCATCCAAATGATCACCAGCAATAATGGTTTCACCTCTCACTACATGGATAAGCAAGGGGAAAGACTTGATACGCCCACTATTCAGCCACAGCCCTTCATAAAAGTTGCAGTGGAGAGCAGCCAATGGAGACACGATCATGTCTTATAGTGCTAAGAAAAGGTGGAGCTCATGAGAGATATTGTAGCAGCTTCAGAGGCAGATCGACTAAATGCATCCTTTCCTGGAATTTTGACAATGTGCAGCCTTTCTTCCATTTTTGTTATAGCCGTTGTTGAAGCATTATATTCAGCATTAAAAGGTAGTTTTTGGATCATTATGATTAGCATTATACGAACATTTTCGGAGCATTATCCGCTGGACCCTATAGAGAGGTGGTAAAACAGCTCAAAGAAGAAGATAGCTAAAACCAAAAAAATGAAAATGCGTGATCTATACACATACATATACATGATTGTACATGTGCTCAATCTGCGGACAGAACAGTTTCGTCCTTTGTGGACTCATCAGCGCAGCACAGAGGAAATGAGGCCGAACCTGATAGCAATGAAAAATTAATTTTCCAAGGTCAGATTTAAACCAGGCCCGAACGTACCTTGCCAGAGTGCTCAATCTGACAAGTCAGTGAGCTCTGCATAACGCAAACATGACATTATACAATAAAATGTATCGGTAATTGTTTTCTCCCCGCCGACTCTTTATTGCACCTACCGTAGAACATTTAATAAAATGTTTCATCTTTGACATCGTCATCATAACAATTACTAACATTGGGCATGATTGCCCGATTGACTTGTGATGTAAAAATACAACAAATACCATTACGAATACTTGACAAGTACAGATCCAGCTACACTGCATGATCCTGCATTCCATGTTCTATGTTCTATGTTCTATGTTCTATGTTCTATGTTCTATGTTCTATGTTCTATGTTCTATGTTCTATGTTCTATGTTCTATGTTCTATGTTCTATGTTCTATGTTCTATGTTCTATGTTCTATGTTCTATGTTCTATGTTGCACTAACACATTCACACACATACATGTACATGTACAGACACAGCTCTCCACTAGTCCACTTCCCTCCCTCTCTTCCTTTCTCCCGACACCTTTCACCAGTCCAGTATTGATACTCTCCACACATTATTACATCCACACCGATAATATCAAGCACATTTCTTTCACCCTCTTCTCAACACTTTCCTACCGCACCTCGCAACATAATATTATCTACTCTTTTGAGTTTTTGTTTCCAGTTAGTTTGCTGTTGTCACCCTGATGGTGGACCGGGTGCGAGAATTTGACGAACCTTTCTTCTTTCTAAAGGTTTGCAGCGAAGAGACCGTCTCAAGTGTTTAAGAAATCTTATCATAATAATGTGCATGACGCTGCAAAGGAGTTCGCGAGTACATGCACACGATTGTACACATTGTACTTGAAAAAGAGTGCAGTTGTAGCAATAGCAGCAATAGCAGACAGCCTAGGCTCAGTTGATTCCTCCACATCGCTGCAGGACTATGCTATGTCGCGAATCATAGTCGAGACTGCTGAATGCTTTCAAAACGTACAGCAATCAATCTTCTGCTTGAAGCGATTCGCCGACGCGATTGCCAGAAAACGTGCTGCATGCTGGACATGCCAACGCTCCAGTTCTGCTTGTACATGTAGCTGAAAGAGGAACACTAATCTTACTTGTACCGCTAATATCGACCGTCCCAAGGATTAGGCAGGGTGACACCAGGTCCGACTCACTGCATTATGGAGTCGGGCTATTCCCTGCGGGTGGCCCAGTGGCAGTGGCAGTTGGGCAGTATCGCTAGCGCTGCACGCTGGGCCGCGGCACTTGACATCACGCTGCTTCACGTGTACCGGTTGCCTAGACTGAAGAGCGGTCCCCGCTATTACTAGCCATAGCCTCATACGAGTCATAGCCTTAGGCAAGTAATAGTTCGGGTCATTGGGGGTCAGTAACCTAGCTATAGTAATCTCATAGTTTACTACAAAAAGGTCTACAATAGTCAATACTGTTGTATTGTACGATCTAGAGCACAAGATGAGCACTACAAAGAATTAGTACAAGTACATTGTACAAGGAATATGTAAAAAATGAAGGCCATTTTAAAGGAGCCAGAAGGTTCTTTACAATTACAGTGCTAGTGCAGTAGTGGTTGCTACAAACAGGAGATGTGACGGGCACTGGGCATTATGCCAGTGAGGCAGTACTCTGTAGTAAGGTCTGGCACCGCCATTTTGACTACACTGCGAACTGAGATCACATAAGAGATGAGAGAAGTGCTCATTTTATTAGTAGCACAGCAACATGTAAAGATACACACAGCGTTCTTGTATGCGTGTCAGGTATTGTATTGTGCTGGCAGTCACATATTAGACATGGTTAGCATTTTACCGTTCACGCTATTTTCGGCGGTAGGCCTGCACCGTTTTTTGTGTGTGTAGCCATGGCATTTTACAGTATCCAACGGTACTCGTACCCCAAACCCAAAATACCGTCGGTTTGGTACCGTTTCGACGATAGAAAGCTCTTTTTAGCGGGAGAACGAAACGGTAAGATTCTAACTAGGGTTACCTCACACGTCTATAGTATACCGGTAGTATCGTTGCGTCAAGAGTCAGGACAGAAGCCGAACTGCTAACCGTGTCTCGAAAACACATCAAAAACAGTAGACTCGCCCTCTACACGCCGACCGTCGAAATAGCGTGAACGGTAGAATGCTAACCATGTCTAGTTATTGTACTGCCACTACTGCAATCTGCAGTAGTAGTGGACTGATGTCTGAGTGTGGCCATGCCCTTCCGGTGCCATTCTGAAGTAGTACCGTTATTTGGCGTTAAATCAACGTCCATCTAGTGAGTTCCACTCCTACTCCTAGTCCTACTGTCCTAGGCAATCCACAGCCAGCTAGGCTTCATTCAATCAACGACGATACGTAGATGTCTACAGTCCAGTGGCTGGATAGAGTGATACAGTCATGTAGTTTCACCAGTCCAGTATGCTGTTTGTTGTCGTCTAATGCCTGGTCAGCCGCTATCAGTAGATTCACTGTATCAGTCTTGGCTAGGCTAGCTGTGTGACCGAAACTCGGCGAAAGTGTTCGCCAGCGGCCAGAGTTCTCTGCCACTTTTGGGCAGGTGGAGTGGATTGTGTTTTGCGAAAGAGTGCTTCTGATGATCGAAGACTTATCCCAGGTGATAGCTGAGTGATTGCTTTCTGTCGCTGTACATGCTGTACGGCTTGTTCCCAACTGCGCTACAGGCACAGTCAGTCATCAGAGATCTGCTGTGTTTTCTATTCTTTCTGTTGCCAGTGTTGGGCATTCTTTCTGTTGCATAGTTTGAAGTGGGTTCCGAGGGAATCTCCCTTCCGCTGCTGAAGACAAAGAAATCTAGAGCTAGAAATAAAGTACATGCAGGAACGGCTTCCAGGATGTCCTGAACCAGGGAGTAGTAAAATACACTCCCTGTCCTGAACCGTCCGTGAACGTTCTCCGTATATCCTACTCTCTACCCTGGTCCCGACCACATGACAGCAGTAGAAAACTGTCACGGGCGAGTGCGTAGTGGAGTCTAGTCACGAGCGTCATTCGTAGAGGACGAGAGAGCGCCTAGCCTTTCAACCTCACTGGCGCTGAGGTGAAAATCCGATCGAAGCGGAAGGCAGTGTTTTGACAGTGTGCGTGTGTGGACCCTTTCGGCTAGTTTTAGCTAGTTTCTGGCAGGTGTGCCATCACCACGATCACAGCCTCTAGTTTCAGACGTTATTCGAGCGCTGACAGGGTTCCGCCGTGTACAACGAAGCGTTACAACTGGTATGACTGGAGACGATCTCTGCTGCTCTGCTGCCGTGTTGGCGGATGTGACGATTGTCGAGGACTGTTGCCTGCCGTGGTGGTGGAGTAGCGCTGACACTGCTGTTGCCGCTGCTGGTCGGAAATATCAGAAACAGAATGAGTGCAGGCCACATTGCAGCTGGAGTCGCTCCGGGCCAGCTTGAGTTGCTGGACATGGCTGCTGTGGCCATTCGAGACGATGCTGAGACCGAGAGCGATAAAGAGAGACGGCGGACGGCTCCGTCCAGTCCTCGATCAACAGCACGACACAACCCGGCCAGCGCTCCGGAGCACGCCAAATCTCCTCGTCACAAGGCGTTCAGTATCGACGATACGAACGCGCTCGACGGGTCATCGCTAAGCCGTCGCTCCTCGGCGAGCGCACGATCCGCCAATGGCAACGGGCTGAACCAAGGACCGTCGAGCAACACACGCGATGCCGACACACCATTGTCATACGAACCGACGAAGGCAGCAATCGTTGAGGTATCTATGCCAATAGGGAGGCAGGCTGGGGAGCGAAGTTCCATCAAGATGAAGTTGCGTGCGCTGAAGAATCTCACCGCTCAGCGTAGCTATGATGAGAGTGATGAGGAGAGCAGTGCGTTTCTGCGCGAGAGGCTCAATATCCGTCGCCTGTGGTGTGATGTGAAAGACCCCAAGACACCTCAGTCAAGCGACTTTCAGGAAGAGGTGAGAGCTAGCTAGCTACGGCGAGACGAGAGGCATGCATTGTTGTTGGTTTGTCGCCACGTGGTGTGTGCTGTCAGGCGTGCAGTGTACGCGTGTAACTGTTACTGTAAACATGACTGTGTGTATTGTTGTGTGTGTACGTGTACCAGTGCGTGTACGTGTGTGTGACAGCGTGATAATGCCCTCCTCCCTGGAGTAACACCGTCAGTGAGTCAGTTGGTGAGCGGGTGCTGCTCAGAGACAGAGACAGTGGGGGTGATGCTCAGAGACAGTGGGGGTGATGCTCAGAGACAGTGGGGGTGATGCTCAGAGACAGAGTGGGTGCTGCTCGGAAACACTAGGGAGCAACACCTACCGTCTACACTGACTACAGAAACTGAGTTAGCAACACCAGTCCTACTGTTCACTCTACACTGACTACAGAAACTGGGTTAGCAACACCAGTCCTACTCTTCACTCTACACTGACTACAGAAACTGGGTTGTGGCCAAAGAACCCCAACCATGCATGACGTACACAGTCACGTCAGGGGCGTCGGTATTTTAGTGTGGTACGGTCAGCCGTCTGAACTACAGTTTCCTCGTGGGGGAGGGATGGCTGAGCCGAAAAATTTGGAAATTTCGAGCCCAGATTAGTGTACTGTATTGATTTACGGGTAACTGGGACAAAGAGTGGTACGGTCAATACCGTAGTTACCGTAGCGTGTCCGACTCCCCCGCCACCTACCAGTAATAATTATTTTTAAAAATGGTTACATAATTCAACTTACATTGCACTGCTGTTGACTCCTAGTCCTAGTCCCAGGTCGGATTTCTTTGCCCATGACTGTAGTCTGTAGAACCTAGCATTGGCCCTGGGGTGTTTAGGGGAGGAATATGACTGTGCTTAGTTGCAGCACTTGCAGAGGTGCTGGTTGTGTGTATCGTGAAGGCAAGTGTCATTGTGTATTGTCACTGTTACCACACACAAGTCGTAAAAAGGCGGATTACTGTAAAAGCCATATATATAACGAAGTGCTAACTCTAACAAGTTAACGAGGAGAAATCTGTCGTTAAAATAGAAATCGTTATACAGATATCGATACAATAATTATACTGTCATATTGAGCATTGAGAATGAGTGAGAATCGTCACCTTTGGTACACGTAAACCAGTCAATTTTGGGAAATCGTTATTATGCGCCTCCTTAGAATAATGGCTTATACAGAACAACTAAACTGCGTAAATTGCCCAACTACACAGTAACATGGACAGAGAGCGTAGTGTGCTGACCCTGGAGTGTGGCCTGAAGGTTCAGCTCAGGGATTCTGATCTGCAATCATTCACTGCATGGCAAGACAATTTTGGAAAAAATGGGTTAGTGGGTAACTGTGTTTCCCATGCCTGCCCCCCCCCCCCCCCCCCCCCCACCCTACTAGTACTATTTTGACCTAGCTAGAACCCTGCTACATGTAAATGAATAATAACACCCTTCTGCATGTGTACAGTGTGGTGTGGTGATTGGATGTTGCCATGGTTACTCAGCATGAGATGTCAACATCACTTGACAAGTGTGACTGTGTGGATCTACCGTGTGTGTGTGTGAGGTGATGGTATGTTCAATGTACATGTACCTGCAGCTGTACATTGCCTTTCTCAGCTTCAGTCCTGTGCTTTCTATAATCCGTTTGTTTGCTATTCACTACTCCGGGCTGCTGTGTGATGAGTAAAGCTCTTCCACTGGCTATAAGCAGTGGGTTATTAACTGCTGGATCGTTCTTATGCCACCGATAATTTATCTTCAATGCTCTCCTGGCAGATCATTACCCTACAAGGGCCATGACAATATAATTTTGTTGATGTCATCTTCATTAGGCCCGGCAATCTGTAGTAGTGGTAGATTTTCCTTGTCACCAAACGAGACGAGACGGCGGAGTGGAGTGTAACTGGTGCAGTGGGCGTGCTGGTGTCTGCAAGCCGCGTCTGGTCTCGTCTGGCCACAAGAAAAATCTGTCCATGACAATGTCAGCTAGGATTAGGTTAAACTTCACACCACTGCACCTTCTTGTTCACGTGATGCCGGCACAGGTTCGCAACCTCCTCCGCCAGCAGGAGCTGGACTGTCTTCTGCCGGAGGACTGCCTGGACGAGACCACGGCCGAGCTGGACGTGTTTGCACGCCTGGTGTACGATCGTCTGGGTCGCAATTACAACTCGGCACTGCTGCTTCTGACCAAGCACAGCTGGATAGAGGACAAAGTGGTAAGTACCAACGTGCACAGTACAGGTCTACCTCTGCGGTTTGTAGACAACCCCAGGGGTTCCACCATGTTTGTCATCCAACGAGTATAAGGATTGCAATCAACAGAATTATCGTATTTCCCAGATTATAAGCAGCACTCGATTATAAGTAGCATCCCTATTTTCAGGTTTGAGCAATGTTGTTGTTGATTTGATATATTGACTTCAGTAGTAAGTCACGCTCGATTGTAAGTCGCACCCCCTTTTTTATCCTTGAATTTTAGTGCACAAAGGTGCGACTTATATTCGGGGAAATACGGTAGCTGAAGCGTCATTTCACGAAGGTTTTATTGAGATGTCGCGAACAAATTCTAGAGAAAGTGCCTAGTGGTGATGGACAAAGACATAACTATGATGTAAATGTAACGAGTACGTAACTAGAGTACTTCAGTATTATCTACTCTCCGCACTTGCATGTATACGTTTCGGCCGACAGGGGAATTTTGGACCCCGTTATCTACTAAATGAGGTTTGTCTTGTAACCGATGTCATACTTACCACCTGGGTAGACCTGCACAGTGAAACCGGTCTAAGCCAACTACCGCTCATGGGACCTTCAAAATGTGGTCTCTGTTCCCAGGTGGTCTCCTTATCCAGGGTCGTTTGACTGGCAATGACATACTAGTACCTTGGTCCTGGTTAGAGTGGCGGTCTGAGACAGGTGGTCACCTTATCCGAGTGGTCGCATAGACAAGTGTTACTGTTTCTCTTGTTTTCCTAACGCTACTCTCTTAGCTGAAGAGCAGACACTGAGACAGGTGCAGTTGTGCTCCATGAAATCCAACCCAGAGTGCATATTTGACGCCCTCAATTTGCACGGCCATTGACGCCCTGGAAGTGGTACGAATGCAGCTGGACTTGTACATTCAAGTTTATACGTACACCGCAAACATGCAGCCACAAATCAATAGACCATTTGCGCGTTGTACAGATATACGAAGTTCAGTACTAGGGCGTAGGTGTGTGCAGACCCGGTTGGGTGTTCATTGTGTGCTATGCATGCGCATTTGGCCAATTTTAGCCTCATAGTTGGCAAACAATCCCTTTTCCAGCTTCTTCACTTTGGTTAGAACTAATGACTAGCTAGATCTTTGTCAGAAAAAGGTTTTCGTATGAAATGCCTTCAGGCCCCATTTCTTAGTGGAAATAGCAGAAAACACAATAGGGTCCTGCACATTCAACACCCTACCGGGTCTACGGGATTCTACGGGATTTTGTGCATCTGTACAACGCGCAAAAGGCTTATCGCTCCGGATGTTCTGTGCATCCGTACGTTGCATGTTTTGTAACAAGGCAATAGTGGAACATGGAAAAAATGTGTGAACAGTTTTTCCCCTACCTCTCCCGCCTACACTTTTTTCCTGCCTAGAACCCTGATTGAACGTTATTTTGGCATCTTGTATTTGTTTTTATTGTCAGACGTCGCTTCTACTCGATCGCCTCATCAGCCACAACAGCAAGGCCACCTCGCCACAAGATGAAGCGTTCGTTGCCCCAGACCCTCGGACTGGCAACACTCCGCTGCACCAGCTGGCCAGGATCAACTACACGGAGTCGGCACACGTACTATTCCGTCAGTACCCGCAACTCTGGCGCATTGAGAACAAAGACGGAGTCTTGCCGCTGGAGGTGGCCTTTGACAACTCGTGCTGCAAGATTGCTGTCAAGCTCATGGACGACATGCCCAATGATCAGTAAGTCAACCACTACATATCGCATCATTCCAGTTCCGAAACTTTCAAATGTTTAAGAACCTGATGCGTAAGTACAGAGGTGACGAGGAGACAGCAACTTCGATACGGATAAGTTAAATGTCAACGCAGTCCTTCACGCAGGCATGTGTTTTCTTCTTCTCCTTATCGAGACCTGCTATGTGTTTGTCTTCGAAGTCTTATAGAATTCTGTCTCCGGGGAAAACAGTCCAGGTACAGTCTAACTTTGGTACAAAGCCCAATGGATGCGCTGGTATGTGATGATGTGTTATGACAAAGAGTGTTGGGATCGGTCAAGGTACTCCACCACATCACAAGCTATTTTATTGAAGTGTTCAGCAGTTACAAGGTCTGTTCATTTTTCACTTTTGACTTGCCAGCCACGCATCGCTTTCATTATTTGCCTCAATAAAGCCATTGCGTATTTCAAAATGTGGAAAGCATGGGTAATGTGTGTTAGTGCACTGGGATCAGGTATGCACTGTTCAACACCCCACACAACCCCGAGCACAGGTGGTTGTGTGGGGTGTTTATGGTACAAATTACGTCATTGCGCAATGGGCTTATTGTCATTTGTTCCCTGCAGCGTACGGGATGTGTTCCAGAAGAGAAGACGCTTTGCCGACATTCTGAACGACACGAAAATGACGGACGCTACACACGCTATCCTGGACAGGCTTGTTGCTGAGTGGCCGGATGAGGAGGGTGAGGAGAGAGGTTTCGACTTCTATTATCAGCCTCTGGAGTCGGATAGCAAGGGACGGATGCCTGGGGATGAGGGCTACAATGGAATGAACTCCTGCTTCATGGCAATACTACGCAGGAAGAAACTCTACCAGGTCAGTGTGTGTGTGTGTGTGTGTGTGTGTGTGTGTGTGTGTGTGTGTGTGTGTGTGTGTGTGTGTGTGCGTGTGCGTGTGTGCGTGCGTGCGTTAACGCACCCGTGTGGGTGTAGGGAGGCGCGCGTGCGTACGTGCATGCGCATATGTGTATGTGAGTGTGAGTCCACCATTTGGCTGCACAATATTTCCCCAGAAACACTTGCCCTGTTGCCCTGTTCTAACAAAAGTGCACAATTAAACTATGCACTTCAAAAATTGTGCTCTGCATTCCCAGTGGCCCCTGACTGATTTTGCAAAGCAAGGACAGTGCCACGGGGTTTGCCAAGTGCTGAATGGTGAACACCTCCATTTAAGGCTATACATGCCCGGCTTTGGGATGCGCGTTTGTCCCGTTTTGGGATGCAGTTGTGTCCTGTTGACTGTGATCCTGCTTCCCCCCCCCCCCCCCCCTTTGAGGTTTGGTCCTGCCTGGCATTTGGGGTTTGGTCCCATCCCACCCCCTTTGAGGTCAGGTCCTGCCTGCCATTTGGGGTTTGGTCCTGCCTGCCATTTGAGGTTTGGTCCTGCCTGCCATTTGGGGTTGGTCCTACCCCACCCCCTTTGAGGTCAGGTCGTGCCTGCCATTTGGGGTTTGGGCCTGCCCCCCCCCCCCCCCCCCCCTCGGTCCAGTAGCTGTGTCTCTGCCCCTTCTGGGGCTGATGCACCTCAGTGCACAGTGATACACGCATACAACACTTTGTTTCAGGTTGACTGGTGCATGCCAGTCAAACAGAATTCTGCATGCTCTGTGCTGTTTGTGCAAGTGCATGCAAGCAAAGCTCAGGATGACGAATACTTTGATGTTGTGTGTGTGTGTGCACGTGCATATGTGTGATACGTGGTGTGTATGTGCATATGTGCAGGCGTTTGGCAACCAGAGAGTTGTGCGTATGTTACTGAACGCCAAGTGGCAGTCGTATGGTGAGAAGATGTTGTGGTAAGTCCCACAGCTGCACTGTCTTCGTAATCCACACCTCTGCTGCTTTATACACCTCTGCTGCAGTCCACACCTCTGCTGCTTTACACACCTCTGCTGCTTTACAACATCCTGGGCACTGTGTGCTAAACTAAAGCAAAAATGAATGTATTGGGAGGGAGGGAGAGGGGGAGAGGGAGGGAGGGGGAGAGAGAGAGGGGGGGGGGGGGAGAGAGAGGGGGGGGGGGGGGAGAGAGAGGGGGGAGAGAGAGGGGGAGAGGGAGAGAGATATCACACGTGAAACAATATCTTGTGGCTTCTACCCCATCCAGGATTTCAGCCAGCGCTTTCTTCCTGTTCATCTTGGTGCTAACGTTTGCCACGGAGATGGCCACATCGGTAGCGGATCCGACGTCGTATAATAACGCGGGAGACTACATACGCGGTTTCTGTGAGGTGGTCATACTGCTGGTACTTGCAGCTCTCTTTCTCGGCGAAATCATAGAAATGGTGGAATCAAGGTGAGTTAGCGTGGCTGGACAAGGATGATAGGCTTCTACCTATACTGCTATAGCCATAAGAACATTCTGTAAATAAGGGCGTACTTATTTTCGAATGTAGTGGTCGCACCTGCTCTCACTTTTGGGAGGGTACTGACTTTCGGGCACGAACTAACTTTTCAGACCTGACTTGTGTGTAGTGGAGAAGTCATTCGTCATGTAGGTACTTTACGGCAGTATGGCGCTGATACCCCCCACCCCCCCCCCCCCCCCCTGCCCCCCCCCCCCTATAAATCATACAGATAGTACACCAGACAGTGTACTCTTCATAGATACGTGTACATGTACATGTACTTTGATCCCTCATACGGTCATAATAAATTATAATTATGGTCTGTCTCTGACATTGAGCACTCTCTGCAGCTCGGGAATGTACGGATTTTTCGTAATGGTCTAACATAACACAGTCCCTATCACAAATCACAGTAATACTAAATAGAGACGGTGCTGCGTGATCCGGTCCCGATCCACGCTATGACGGGAATCATTTAAAGACGATTGATGTGTGTGTGTGTGTGTGTGTGTGTGCGTGTGTGTGCGTGTGTGTGCGTGTGCGTGTGTGTGTGTGTGCGTGTGTGTGTGTGTGTGTGCATGCGTGTGTGTGTATGTATGTGTGTGTGTGTGTGTGTGTGTGTGTGTGTGTGTGTGTGTGTGTGTGTGTGTGTGTGTGTGCGCGTGCGTATGTATGCGGGTGTATGTGTGTGTGTGTATGTGTGTGTCTGTCTGTGTGTCTGTGTGTGTGTGTATTTGTGTGTGTCTGTGCACATGCGTGTGTCTCATTTCTCGCTGCAGACATGATTGCCATGGCTACTGGACAGACCATTACAACTTAGCTCAGATAACGTCGTTCACGTTTCTCTCCATCGTGGTGCCACTGCGTTACCTAGACAACGACGGGCAGGCACAGTGGGTGTTTCTGTCAGTGGGATACTTTATCACCATGGCGAGATCATTCAAATTCATATCCACATCCAGGTAATCAAGTGGTGTACTTCACTGTCCGAAGAGTGCTCAATACCTATGTAGGGTCTTTCTGTCTATATGTCTGTGTATTCTATACAGCAGTAGATAGCAGCCACACAACAGGAGCAAGATTTGACACTGACAATTCTTTTTACAACGTTTTGATCATATTGATATTCTTCAGAATGATGTTGATAATGAGGGAGGACACAGGAGGAGAGGATATGTCCCATTATACCGTATTTCCCCGATTATAAGTCGGAGCCCATTCTCACGTCCGAACCAAATCATCTCGATGCATTCATATAAGTAAGAAGTCACACTCGATTGTAAGTCGCACCCCCTTCTTTGCCCTTGAAGTTTAGTGTAAAAAGGTGCGACTTACAATCGGGGAAACACGGTAAGTATCTGCCAGTGCATTCATCTGTCTGTCTAGTGCCGGTTTATCTATTTCCTGTTTGACCAATCATCCAGCCATTTAGTCCCGGTCTTCTGTGCTTCTTTATCAGTACCTGGGCATATTCGTATCGGTATGTGACTGTTTGGCTGTATGTCTGTCTAGTACCGGCCTGTCTATGTCTCTCTGTCATTTCATCTACTCATCTCTCTCTCTCTCTCTCTCTCTCTCTCTCTCTCTCTCTCTCTCTCTCTCTTTCTCCCAATGCACAGCTTACTTGGTGTGTACACACGCGTCATCACCGGTATCCTAGCCAGGGTTATGCCTAAGTTCATTGTGGTCTTTGCCTTTGTCCTGGTTGCCTGGGCCGGGGCATGGTACCCTGCACTCCGATCACACAGCCGTGGACTGGCGGTGGACAATACCACCCAGACTGACATTGGCCTCATACTGGAAACCAGGTGAGCATGGCAACAAAGGTCACGCTTTCCAACGGCCGTAAGAGAGTTGGAAAGCACGTGTCTTTGTGCGTAGCCATGACAATCATGGTGGTTCGTTGCAAGTCTGTGCAAAGCAGACACAGCCAAACGTGGTCCTCACTTCGTAGTGGCCTACTTTCCAGATAGGATCAGAATTTCAGCGTTCCTTTTTCACCAGTTTTTTTCCTTTTGTTTTAAAGGTGCCCGAAACTGGCTATGCAACTCTGCGGTTCTGTGTTGTGTTGTACGGGCGGAGCACAAAGACTTTATTATCCCTAGTGCTGCTGGTCTTGTTTCCCTCGCAACCCCTAATCATCTGCTGTGGTTGGCTAACACCCACTCTTATCTCTTCACATTGACCAGTGTTCCCACTGCACCTTGAGAGGGTTATAATAAATGAAAATAAAATGAAAAGTTCCTAGGCATCCAACACCAGGACCTGCAGAAGCAGTCATTGATTGGTCCTGCCATACCCTAGTCTTTCATACAGTTTGTGTATGATATGGAGGGTAGTCACATGACTTTCATACAGTTTGTGTATGATATGGAGGGGGGTATACACATGACTTTCATACAGTTTGTGTATGATATGGAGGGGGGTATACACATGACTTTCATACAGTTTGTGTATGATATGGAGGGGGGTATACACATGACTTTCATACAGTTTGTGTATGATATGGCGGGTATACACATGACCTCATCAGCAGTAAACCTGCTTTGGTGGCCAAAAGGTTGGTCCGTCCATGGCCCGACCAATCGGACCGGTTCCGCCGGGCCTGAACACCCGTATCAGTGTTGCCCAGCACTTCCTCCGGGTTCCTGCATACTGTCAGACTAATGACTGTTTCACTGAGAAAGTGTTAGCCGACATGCTTGTCACCACCGCTCCCTACCCAAAGGCATATCACAAGCTACTCGCCACACCGAGTGGCGTATCACAAGCCTCTCCTCCAACACATCTGCAAGCCCTGAACGACGTGTGTGTGTGTTTGTGTGTGTGTGTGTGTGTGTGTGTGTGTGTTTGTGTGTGTGTGTGTGTGTGTGTGTGTGTGTGTGTGTGTGTGTGTGTGTTTGTGTGCTGCATATGTGCATGTTTCTACTGCAGTTCTTACTGGGAAAACATCTTCCTGGGCGTGCGTGTCATGATTGAAGGACGTAACCTCATTGACTACTACAATAACAAACAACAGCTAGGGTAAGACAATGGTACCCTTCACCTCATCCTCCTCATCCTCCTCCTCCTGCTGCTGCTGCTGCTGCTGCTGTTGCTGCTGCTGCTGCTGCTTCTGGCTCCTGTGTTGGCTATTTGAGTGCCGGCCAACCGAGACTCTGAATTCACTCTGAGAAGGACAGCCTGAGGACGAATATTCCTACCATGGACCGCTGAGGGATGGGAAACTGAGAGTTGGATCACTGACGGATGGTTTCGCTGAAAAAATGCCCGTGTTACAGATTTTGCAGTAGTCTTTAGATGTTGGCTTCATCAATACAAGTATTTTTCTCACGTCGCCGGGTTTAGCTCTGTATCTGTTTATCTGTTCAGTTGTGTGTTTGCGTAATTTTGCCTGTCTCTGTGTGCATATGATCGATATATCAAAGTTTGTTCCGCAAGCTGAAAATTGGCAACTGTGGTTCTAAAGAAGTCTCTATCGCGCTCTCTAGAAGCAAATCTGTGTTTTTCGACTGTAGATTGGGCACCCTGTAGGAAGACCTTAGGGTCTGTTGGGAATGCCCAAGTAAAATAATAAAATACAATACAAAAATGGCTTGTGCTTTTTGTGTGTGTGCAATTCATTTTCCCGTTGTTGGCGCCGGTTCCTGTGCTTCAGAGCTCTGTCGGTCTTCTTCTACCTGCTTCTGCTGGCGTTTGTGGCTCTGATCATGAGGACGATCCTGATCGCTCAAATGGCCGCCACTTACAACACGCTGAACCGTGACGCTGTGCACCAGCTGGAGATCAACCGTTCCTGGGTGCTGCCCAGTTTAGAACAGGCCTCCCTCTTCAATGGAAAGTTCTCTCCGGTATGTCATGGGCTTAGTGAGTGTAGCGGTGTGTGAGGCTGCTGGAATTCCGGAGCTTGTCGTGGTAATGTGGGAACAGAGGGGGTATTGTCGTACCGTGTGTGACGGCCCTGACATACTAGCTGAATTCCATGCTATCTTCCTTCCCGATCTCCCTTCCCTATCTCCCTTCCCTATCTCCCTTCCCGATCTCCCTTCCCGATCTCCCTTCCCGATCTCCCTTCCCGATCTCCCTTCCCGATCTCCCTTCCCGATCTCCCTTCCCTCCCTTCTGAATGCATTTTTTATGATTATTTATAGTGGCATATGCAGCCAAGGGACCGTATTCTGGAGTTGAGGTACCCTATTAGCTGTGTAAGTGGCTGCGCTGGAGTCTGCGGGTGGTTAGAAACGTTTTCCTCCCTCTCATCCATCCATTCTTTCTTTGTTTTAATTTCCGTCACCCTGCTGCTCGCAGTTTGGTGACTGGCGCAGTCGCTACTATAACCACAAGGAGACCATCAGTGCCAAGGACCTGCAAAAGCTGCTGCAGGAGGAGAAGGTGGACGGTTTCGTGCACCTGGAGAGGCTCATGTTCCGACAGAAAGCTGAGCAAGATGTGAGTACTAATGTGTTGCTGAATATGTAAAAAGTCAAAATATTATCATGCAGGCTAATCTCATCACTAAACCGTCAGATCCACTAAGCTTTAGTGACCGTAATGTATCGCAAAGCATGTTCCGTTGTAAAACACACCTAGCAGGAGAGGATAGACTGATATGCTGGAGTGCTTTTGGTGTGTGCATGTGAATGCGTGTGTGTGCATGTGTGCGGGCATGTGCGTGGCACGTGTATGTAGATGAAACAACTGCAGCTCCTTCAACACATTGACCACCAGACTATACTGGAGGAAAAGTGGAATACTGGCATTCTGGAGGCCGTCAAGAACAGCCGCCTGGAGGTAAGCTGGCTAGTTGGTTTGCGGACCGCGTGTGAGTCGTAGGCACAGGTCTGTATCATGGTTGCGTAGTGCAGGGCCGGCGGCACTGGTACGACTGCTGCGGCCATGGTCGTACAGTCAACTTCGCTAATAACGACTGCGGATATATCGACAATTCGCGAATAACGACAGAATTTCCATGCCCAGAGCAAAGTCCCATCTAACTGTAATACATATAATGAAACTTTGGGTATAAGGACACTTCGCGAATAAAGACACTTTTCTGATGCCCCGCTGAGTGTCGTTATACGCAAAGTTGACTGTACCAGTGTTTTGTTCATGGACAGCTCAGTGTGCAATTGATCATCTGGAAGTACTAGTAATAAGCTATCCTCATACACTCCTCGCTGGAGTCTCTCCTCCTAAACTGTTTTTCTTGTCCAGTGAGGTCTACTGCGCTAGCTGTCATAATGATATGTTGCTAGAGCAATGTGTAGCTGAAACAAACAGATACGATGTACAGTGCTGGAGATGTATCCTCCCAGGATTTGAAACTGCGCAAGGGTAAATAATCGATCCTTTAGCAGATCTGGGGCCGTACTACCCCTTAGCAGCTGGCTCTGGGCTGGTATTAGGAGTATGTCTTTGCCGCGTGTCCTTGGTGTGTGTTTTCGTCATCACAAGTGCCGTCGTCTGAGAAAGCCGGTCCGATGTTAGTCCGTTCCGCACGGTCACAGACTGACCAACACAGTGTGGAGCTGGCTGCCTGACCGAGACTTGCTGCAAAAGCTGAGAGTAAAAATGACTGGCATGCAGTTGCAACATGCAACCTCTTGCACGACAAAACATGATTCTGATGAATGCTTTGCATGGTGGAAGTTTAGCAAGAAGGACACACGGGTGTGTGTGATGCCCGGTAGCCTAATCGATAGGGCACTGTCCCGGAAAGACTGGGATGCTGGGTTCGAAATCCACACGTGTATCCTTCCTTTGCGACAGAAGTTCTTGCCGGCACACATGCCTCTCTCTCCCATTACTCCGCCCCATGCTTCACATGAATTTTGACTACCCGTAATGTCGCGAATTATTAAAGCCGGGCGTATTCCTGTAGAAACCGATGTCAGTGCAAGGCTTCTATTCACATCAGGCTTCTATTCGAGCCAGGTGTTTTTTTTATGCATGTCCACACTAAAACCAGGCGTATGTGCCGACAGTGTATCTTGAAAATCAGGCTTGTATTCTATTCAAAACAGGCTGCTATATGAGACAGGCTTTAATACAAGACACCACGGTAATTCATGTAGTAACCTCTCACTTGCCGTACTCTTTCTTACAGCTGCTAGAGCAATCCAAGCGCCACCACCTCACACTGGTATCCCATAGCAACAGTGCCGTCGCCCAGGTTACTGGCCCGGTGACAGGTGATCACGTGACCCAAGACAACACAGCCAATCAGGTACAGGGTGCTAGCAATGTGTGACTTCCACTACTATAATAGGACCTGTCTGTGATGACATCAGAAGTCAACAAATAACAATTTCTGCATCAGATTGGATCCAAACCACGGAGTGGTAAAATACCGCTAGTTTACTACTCCCTGTCCAAACTGACCAAGGAGTAGTAAAATACCGCTATTTTACTACTCCCTATCCAAACTGACGGTAGCGAACTGCAGTACAAGTACTTGTATGTGGTGGTAAGCACCTAGTGTTGCATGCATGTGTGAATTGTTCCTGGGTCTCTGCCAGCATGGTAGTGAGTGGTGAATGATTGCTGTATTTCCCCGATTATAAGCCGCACCCCCGCTTCAAGTCTGAGCCATATTGTTGTTTCAATGATATTCACATAAGTAGGTTGTGACACTCAATTGTAAGTCGCCTTCTTTGCCCTTGACGTTTAGCATGAAAAGGTTTGACTTATATTCGTGGAAATGTGGTACTTGTACTTGTCTCTACTTTTTCAGTCATGAGGTTGGTTAAAACACTTCCCGGCACCAGTGTGATTCTGCTGTCGGTATTGCATGTTCTCAGTCCGCCTGTCTTCACGCTATGCTTGCTGTGCTGGCAGGTAGTACCAGCAACTGCTACTGTCGACTCACAGCCCGGGGGGGCCTGGCAGGCTATCCACAGTCAGCTGAAGACGCAGAATGAACGCTACGACAGACTTGAAACATTGCTCTTACAGGTATGTCGTAGAGGAAGGACTGAAAGGTTTCATGCAGAATTCTACCTGCTTTTGACCTGTTTCTCTATCTGTCTGGCTGACTGTCGTTTCCCTCATTTTCTGTCTGTTTCTGTGCCTCCCTCCCTCCCTCTCTCTGTGCCTCCCTCCCTCCCCCCCCCCCCCCCCCCCCTCTCTCTCTCTCTCTCTCTCTCTCTCTCTCTCTCTCTCTCTCTCTCTCTCTCTCTCTCTCTCTCTCTCTCTTCTGCCGCCCTATCCTAAATTCTCGTTCCCTTATAACCATGTGCGTGTCTCTCACTCATTATAGCTGGAAGGCCATCTTCCCAGCTCTGCAGGAACAGCTGGACCTCAGCAACAGCAACACCAGCAGCACCAGCAATCAACCCAGGGAGCGCTAGACACACAGTCCACTGGCATAGCAAGCAGTCATGCAGCAGATCAGGAGCTAAGCTTGGTCAAGACTCTAGTACAACAGCAATGGTAAGTGGACTGGTGGTGGTCTACCGTGCATGCCTGTACTGCGTATGATGCATGCAGTGTTGCCGTCAATGAACCCAGGCAGGATCATAGTTGTGCTGACAGCGTAATGTTCCATTTAAGTTACTGATGGTGGGTGAACCACGCTCGAAACATTTGGCGGTAAAATGCAAAGTAAGTTGTCTGCAGAAAGAGATCATTTGGAATAGAGGGAGCCGGAGAGCCTTGAGTCACGTGTAAATGGCTGCATTGCGGGAGTCGGCTGATAAATTCAAACTTAGTACAGGCTTATGGTTGTAGTGAGTGCTGGCCTCGGCATTGCTGCTGCTGTTGTTGTTGCTGCTGCTGCTGCTGCTGATGTTGCTGCTGCTGCTGCTGATGTTGCTGCTGTTGCTGCTGCTGCTGTTGTTGCTGCTGCTGTTGCTGCTGCTGCTGTTGCTGCTGTTGCTGCTGCTGCTGCTGTTGTTGCTGCTACTGTTGCTGCTGCTGCTTCTGCTGCTGTTGTTGCTGCTACTGTTGCTGCTGCTGTTGTTGCTACTGCTGTTGTTGCTGCTGCTGTTGTTGCTGCTGCTGCTGCTGTTGTTGCTACTGCTGGTACTGATCCGGTGAGTACTGACTGGACACGTGGCTGGTGGGAAGATCTATTTGTTCCATTGCTGACTCTGAGTACGTGTGGATGACGGCAGGCGGTAACACCATGGCGTGAGAACTGTCGTGTGACATGTCATATCCGTGTGTCTGGATGTTCTCGTGTGTGATGTCATGTATGACGTCATGTGTGTCCGGAGGTAACTAACGTCTCATGTGTGATGTCATGTATGACGTCATGTGTGTCTGGATGTTCTCTTGTGTGATGTCATACACGCAGCACTCAGCTGCAGGATCTCCGACAGTCCATGCAGCGTCTGGAGCAGCACAATCAGGAACTAGCGCAGCAGCTACGCAGCATCCACGCACTGGGACAGGTCACCATGACAACCTCTACACCTAGTACCGATTCTGAGACAATCTGACATCGCCATGCAGCGAGATTCTAGCCCGGCGTGTGGTGGTCGGAGAGGTATTAGTGTCACAATGGGTACTCCCATGCAGTCTGCCTCGCCAATATAAAGAAACACGTTGAAATATCAATGAACAGACACGCTCTTGACCTTGACCAATCGTTGCTAACTTATAGCTAGCACGCCCGACGAAACCGGTACTGCCGGGATTTTCGTACCAGTCACACCACACGCCGCTGCTGGCAGCCTATTCCAAGTCGTGGCGATCTGCGGCTGTGTTTAAAACTGCCCGCGCTGTGCGGCTCTGAATCGCACACATGGACACCGTACTGCTCTACTAGTATACAATTGAACGTGTGAGCACTGCGATTGGACGACAGGCCAGAACGCCCCACGGTTGTAGACCCATTGATGTCTAGCTTAGCAAGATGAATACTTGAGTGTTGCCTGATGACTAGGTAAGCATGAAACCAGGGAGTCGTAAAAATACGACTCCCTGCATGAAACCAGGGAGTCGTAAAAAAAATTAAAAAGTATTTTACGACTCCCTGCATGAAACTGAGTTTAGTGTCAAACTAGCCTGACCACTATTGTTCTGTGCATTCTTGCACTGGGTGCATCAGGCTTCCGGTACTTGAACGTAGATATACGCAGAAAGCTGGTTGCTCCCTACACTGACTGCTGCATAGAGTGTGTGCCGCACTTCCTTCTTAGCAGCAGCTCTACCGATTGTGAGGGTATAGATAGGACCAAGAGTACATAAACCTTTATAATACTCTTGATAGGACGCATACCGGTACGGTATGTGCCATATCCATAAGTGGTTTTGCCAATTACCGGTAATCGCCTAGAGACTTCAGCTACCTGCGACTCCATGCCTAGTGTTGCCAGCTAACAGTAACTGCAGCATGCTAAAGGATAGTAAAAAGCTGTCCTGAGTATCAATGATGGATCATGATTTTTTAACGCCTATGCAGAGGTCCCTGTTGCACAGGACCTCATGATAATAATTATTACTATATTCGTATTCAACTGTGCTTGCGGCTAGTCTGTGGGCTGCTTTATCAAAATGTGTCAGTTCCACTTTCCCCTGATGAAAAACTGGCGTACATGTACGTGGTAAGCTCATCTACAGTTGTCTATTTTCTTCATACTGCAAGTGCATTCTCCAACGAAGAGCCGCAGACTACAATAATTATACCGGTCTATATCTCTAGATTTCAACCCAATCCATGTTCCTCGTTAATATAATAATATTATTTACATGTCTGACAGCCCTTCAGTTGCACGTCTATGCTGACAGGTGCTTTCTATGCTAAATGTAAGGTCACACAAGAACCACCGGGAGCAGTATCCAATCCGGTCGTACCAAAGCCGTTCACACAATTTGTTTGCCGGTAGTTGGAACATAATGTATGACCTCTTTTAATAGGCTAGCAGCAAACATGCGTTGGTAGGTGAAAAGTTGGTCCGGTAATAACCTGACCAACCGGACCGGTTCCGGCGGGACTGCACTCTCCTGGCCACGTTTAGCACGACGCCTGAAACGTGCGTGCACGCATATATCAATGTACTTCGAAGTCAGAACACACACGCACACACACACACACACACACACACAGATCTGCCAGCACGACGAAAGAAAGAAAGATTCAAATCATCTCAACATGCCTCTCTCTGGTGTGTGTGAGTGTATCTAAAGAAAAGAGCACAGCACCACCCGCAGCTCAGCACTGGAATGTGTAGCCATCGCTGAAAAGATTAAACACTAACTCACGCACCGCATGCACTATACGAAAAAATAGCATAATCATAAAGCATGACAATTCCCTCTCATGAATACAATGGAGTAAAAACTTTGGCAGTAGTAAATGTTAGAAGGAGAAGTAGAAGAAGATCGTAGACAACGTTATAGATGCTGGAAAAAGAAGCACTACTACTCCTAGCGATATATTTGCGTCGAGAGAGAGAGGGAGAGCGCTCTGGGCACAGCTATGTGCTGCCTGTACATACCAACTATACAGGTATGGGGGGGGGGGCAGGGGCAGGGTAACATAGGCGGTGTGTACACACGACTATAAGGGTGTGGGGAGGGGGCAGGGCCGGGGGGGGGGGGGGGGGGGGGTAAATGTACAGAATCACAAGGGTAGCAGAAGCTATTGAATCAAAGAAAATGTCGTGCCAGGCGACACTGGCGAAAACAAAGCAATGAAAGCACACACACACACACACACACACACACACACACACACGGACGGCACACCGAACACAACTACAAACAGACGCTGGGCATGGACGATAACCTCTGGGAAAGCAAACCACCGCAAACAGCATCAGCCACAGCTCTAACAGCAGAGCAGCAGATGTGGCCGAAACTACACGGCTCTGCTTCTTGCTGACACGGGCACCGAGAATAAGTTACACACACATAGGAGAGAAGCGGCAGGGATGCGAGGATGAGAATGTCCCCAGTACAGCGAGAGAGAGAGAGAGAGAGAGAGAGAGAGAGAGAGAGAGAGAGAGAGAGACACACACACACACAATAGTGCATGCCGTTGTTGATATTACTAGATACAGCCATGACCAGCGGTTGTTTTCCTGTGTAGTTACAACGATGGTTACCCGTATCACTAACAATCATCAACCAAAGAACAGCCACTTGGTTAGAACTATACGATAGCCACTACGTGCTGCACACGGCGGTGGTATATCGTACACACACGCACACACACGCACACACACGCACACACACACACACACACACACACACACACACACACACACCTCCCAGTCTCTTCACAGCAGCACAGGTATAGACATACTACAGATCAAGGGACAACGCGTAGGACGACAGCGACAATCACGCGTAGTAGAGCTGCTGCTGCGGTGATTTACGTCAGCGCAAAGAGCAGAACAACTACCACGAGCATGACGAGAAGCGCAAAGATTACGCACATCTGCCGCTTGTCTGTTGCAAGAGGAAAAAGAACATGTGCACGCATACGCAAACACACACACACAGCACAGCACAGAGGAATTAGGACCTGGCAGGTATGTTTGCCTAAGACCATCAGCTTCTTCAGCCGGAATAATGCCATTCTCGGCTAGACAATAGAAAGGTTCTGCAAAACGAAAATGTGAACAAACCTTCGCTCTACGTCAGGAAGTGAGAACTGCGCGAACTTTCGGATGAAACGCAAAATGAACTTTCGTGAGAAGTTTCGCGGGCTCGTAAGGGGTCAATGGGTTCACCACATGCACGTGGGCGCGGGCGAACTGCGAAAATAAATGTGCAGAACACAAATTCCGCGCGAAAATTCGCACAAACTTTCGCAAGGCCCGTCGCGAAACTTCGTGCACATTTTCGTTTCGCAGAACCTCTCTACTCTAGTCATGTGCATTGTGTGGCAGTATAACAGCAGCTGCTGTTGTTGCTCTGGTAATCTATGACGGGCCTACTCTCCAAGATCTGAATCGCCACTGGGGTGAGGGCACCATGAGCCCCTCCCCTCCACGTAAGCCTGTGGCTGTTCTCTTCACACACATACAGAAAAACCTGCCCTGACCGAACACACTTGGTACAGCGGAAACTGTCCTGATATGACAGGATTCCGCTTGATCCACAGCACTTTGGTGCATGAAAATGTGTCCGATCAATACAGGAATCTGCCCGGTACAGGGTCGGGCAAACACAGGTTTGTTCTACGCCACATACAGGTATATACTGGCTCTTTACACCGACTGAGGTGTAGCCACCTAGCCACACAGTCATCAATAACCCTATTGCACATTGCCAAATATGGAAGGTATGAGTATGTGAGTACACTGGGATCAGCAATGCACCGTTCAACACCCCCAGACAACCATGCCCAGGCGGCTGTGTTGGGTGTTATGTGAGTACACTGGGATCAGCAATGCACTGTTCAACACACCCCACACGACCATGCCCATGTGTGGCTGTGTGCGGTGTTTACGGTACAAAATTTTAATTATTAAAGTCATTGCGCAATGGGCTTATTGTAACAAGCGATAACATGCATTTTCTATTGCAATGTGCAGGGAACCTGGGCCACTGCATGACACAGGTCATTACTGGCTAGACAAGACTACAAGACAATAACTACTAGAGACTTGCCATTTGTCAAGCGAAGCACCTTCTCCATCCGCATTAACGTGCTGTCCAGTTTAGACTGGGTCTGGTCAATTTCATCACCAAACTCATCCAACATCCTGGATGGACACAAGTGAGAGGGAGAGAGGGAGAGAGGGAGAGAGAGAGAGAGAGAGAGAGAGAGAGAGAGAGAGAGAGAGAGAGAGAGAGAGAGAGAGGAGAGAGAGAGAGAGCGACAGAAAGAGAGAGAGAGAGAGAGAGAGAGAGAGAGAGAGAGAGAGAGAGAGAGAGAGAGAGAGAGAGAGAGAGAGAGGGAGTGAGGGAGAGAGAGAGGCAAATGTCAACATGAGTAAGAGGAATCAATAAAAATAGGCAAGAGGCAAATGTCAAGAACTCTTCCTCTCCTCCATGCGCTCTCACAGCCGACTCACTGCTACCCTCGGTAGCCATTACACACACCAGAGGCAAATGTCAACATGAGTAAGAGGAATCAATAAAAATAGGCAAGAAGAGAGCTGTCCTAAGCCCTGCCTGCACTCTCACAAAGCAGCACTGATGCATTCAGTCACCCCCACCCCCACCACCACCAGACTTGTGCGCAGAGAGTTTGAAAATGCCAACCACAGACTGGGAAATTGTGCAGGACCGGATCCAGGACAGGAAACTCTTGCACAACGACAGTAGCGTCCAAACAACCATATTGTGCTACCATGCAATTGTGTCCGTGTGTGTAACGCAATGCGGGCTATGACGTACTGGTTCTGTGTTTCCAATTCACCACCAATCTGTTCGCCCATGTTCCGCAGCACCTTGACCGACTGTCCCACCATCTCCAGCTGTTCATCTTGCCGTTCCATTTCAACCTACACATGCATGCACACACAGGGAATACGCACACACACGCACACACACACACACACACACACACACACACATGCATGCACACACAGGGAATACGCACACACACACACACACATGCAGCGGCAGAAACAAACAAACAGACTAGATCAGAGGCAGACACTAGAGAAAGATCAACCCCAGGGCAGGGGTTCAGTATAAACTCTCATAAGCGCATTGGCCGACTTTCCTTTTCCCCAACTATACATTATTCTGGTCATTCGCTGAAACTGTGTATAGATACGAATATGATCCGGTGATACAATGTCTATGCTACGGTAATGACAAACTGGTGCAGGCAAAGCCTGACCTGCCACACTTGTAATACACTGTTCAGATCTGCAACTTTGAGAAGAGAAGAATACGGCTTGAAAGCGCTGCTTGTCGCAGCCAGGTTGGAGTAATGACAACGCCGACATAGGATCCACTTCAATCCAGCTTTGTACGGATCCATGGACTCGTTTTGTTTGGGTGGTTTTCCTTTACAGCAGGGTGGCACGTCCACAGGTCCCTCCCGGACGAGGACCACTGCTGTCACTGAATTGAAAAAGCCACATCAGACATGATGCTACATGAGGGGTCAGCCCTCCGGATACCGTACTCCGCTATGGTCAGAGTGGATCCAATTTGACCCAGGTGTTGCTATTTAAGGACTTGTGACATCATCACTTCGGTGGTACACCTCTAGCACCAGAAAGGTGGAGCAGCTATGCCACAACTACTACTGACCTATATAATGCAAGCCTGGAGCAATGTTTCCCATACACTGGCTGCGTGCGATTTTGCACTTGAATCGATTCATGAATCCATTCGCATGCATTCAAGTCGTTCGATTTTCATGTCATGAGCCCTGGAATCGATTCGGAATCCATTCACCCTATTCACATGGGGTGATGTGAATAGCGCGAATCGATTCATGAATGGATTCATGAATCGATTCGCGGGCATAATCGAACCCATACAGTGTATCCTCGCCTTGTTGACGCTGTCACCGTGAAAACATGTTACTACTGACCTGCTGTTGTTGCTGATGTGACTCGATGAACTCCTGATTGTCATCCTCCAGAGCGTTGTCAAGACGTGTGTAGCGATCTTTCGTCTTCTTCCCCGAAGAGTTACCCATCAAGTTCTAGTACATCACCAGATAGAGACGGACGCACAGACAGACAGACAGACAGACACACACACACACACCCACACACACACACACACACACACACACACACACACACACACACACACACACAGGCAAACAGCAGACAAAAAGGGACAAGAGGGTCTTACAAGTCCAACCGAAGAAATACATACTGGTAGTCATCCACATCATCCAAGACATAAAGCACAGTTCACAATAACGAGCTGTGGCTACGGCAAACTACGCCACTCAATTCCCAATTAGTTTGCCCTGTGCAATGTCTACACATGTAGTCACAGAAGTGCATATCACAGGTGTGCATAGGCACTGCACTTGCACATAATGTGAGTCTCATTGGAACCTACACTCCATTGTTGGGTGCAGTAAGGCGCACAAATCGGAACTTTGATCAACTTCTAACAGCAGTGCAGTGGCCTCACGGTTGCGCCGAACACCAGGCAGCATATCCCTTGTGACAAATACTGCGTGTGTGTCACAGTGCAGAAAGTGATGTACTGTGAATACCATGTCTCATACCTGCCAACCGCTGCAAACCTGAGATTGGGATAATGACATACCTAGCTACGAAAATGTCTACAAATGTTGCTGTGAGGCATGTGACAAATGCACTTTCGGGTGCCTAATACCACCGCCCTCGATATCGGGACGATCCCGGCCAACTGGTTGGGCAGGTGTGATGTCTAACCATTACTGTAAATCAACAAATATTCGGCACATATTTATTTTCGGCTATTATCGGCCTGGTCATGTTGCGGCCGAAAATTTGTTTGCACGGTTCAGTGTGACAGTGTAAACAGGCGGCAGCAGTACAGGCTGAATATTCGATGCGGCCGAAATGGGGTTTAGTCCTGGGAGGCCGAAATTTGAAGGGGCCGAAATTTGAAGATGCACAGTAGATCTTAGATTGTGCTTACCTTTCTCGCTGATTGCTCTACTTTAGATTTCGCTTGTGCGCTGCTGAGATGTTCCTTCATTTGCTGGAGTAACAAACACACAGGTTGTAAGGAATAGCAGTATACGGTCACAGTGGTGGCAGCGAAGTGTGTGTGTGTGTGTGTGTGTGTGTGTGTGTGTGTGTGTGTGTGTGTGTGTGTGTGTGTGTGTGTGTGTGTGTGTGTGTGTAGGCGCGCGTGTGTGTACACGCATACGCATGTGAGGTTATGCATGTGTGTATGAAAGGTAGAACCCATACATGTCCAGAAATAGACAAACTAGAACATGAAAAATGACACAACACAGCATGGGCAACGCAAGACAAACAATGATAGAGAAACAGACTCCCAAGCGCACGTGCACACACTCAGACACACACACACACACGCGCGCGCGCGCTTGCGCCCTGCCCTACCTTCACATCATCCCGGGTGCCGTAGATGAAGGCTTTCCTCTGGTCGATCTCCTGCGGTGTGAGTCGAAACTTGCTTGGGTTGCTCTCCACGATACTGATCGTTTCCGTCAGGTCCTCTAAATCCCACTCGATGGACTTGAGACCATTGCGGAGTTCGTTGGCTACCCATTCACATTCCTGTCCACCAGCCTTGCTGGAGTCATTCAGTAGGCCCTGCCAGCGGCTGTATAGGCTCTGTGCATTGCTCAGTGATTGTTGTACATCTCTAGGTGCGGGCAAGTTCATGCACACACACGCACACACACATACACACACACACACACACACACACACACACACACACACACGCACGTCCACACACGCACACGTGCACACACACACAAACAAACAACAGTTATGATCACGCCAGTCCACGCTATCCTTGCACACTTTCTGACATATTCTTGAGGTGATCTGCTCTGCTCTCCCGACTTCTGTCCCCGGGGAAAATCGTGATTTCGCAGATGCAAATTTTCCCGTGATATTGACAATTTTATCAATCCGCAATTTGCGCAAATTTTCCGCGATTTTTGAAGCTTTTATGGATGAAAAACATTGAAAGACTGTCCCTGTAGCCCTGCATCACGCGCACAAGGTGAAGGTCTTCTCTCTCCTGAGTTTGTACATGTGAGTAGCAGGCACATGATTTGAGGACTGAAGTGTAAGCATTAAAAAATTTCATGGTGTAAATGTCCTTTTCACTGTTCTTTGTGAAAATAGACAGTTTTCTGGCAGTCAAACAGGTCGATTGGCAAATCTACTGGCAAGTGCACCAAAAATGGTCGCATATTCCCCGCAATTTCGACGCAAATTATGCCAATACTTATCGCAAGTTGTGCCGCAAATTTTGAGCTTTTCTTCCGCGATTTTCCACGGGGACAGCTTCTTGCGTAGCATAAACTTTTTGTCGGCAAACGATCCGATGTCTCGACATGAATGTTGACACTTGGCAGAACATGTACATGTATTTCGACATACATGTAGGTGCAAGCACAAACACTTGATGAGCACTCTGTGTGTGTGCGTGTGTGTGTGTGTGTGTGTGCGTGTGTGCGTGTGCGTGTGTGTGTGTGCGTGTTTTTGTGACTCCCTGGTCCAATGCATACTGAAAGAGGCCGAAAGGAGCATACAGGGAGCATAGACTGCACATAAATGTACTCAATGCAGTGCCAATACTCCGCGGGGTATTGTAGGATTCCTGTGCCCTACGCAGTCAACTGTCTACCGAAAGCAGAACGAGATTTTTGATTTTTGAAATTTCTGGAAATAATTATCTTAGAGATGCCACCGGAATGCAAAATAGTTTTCCCAGAGACAGAGACGCGAACAATGCCTTGCCATTCCATGAATACAGCCGAGCAGCAGCCATTTATCTAGATGTACTACAACTGGAGCATGAACGAACGCCACTGTGTCATTGTACACCGTCACGATAACAACATTCAGCATGATTGGGAACCGAAAAAATTCAAACCAAGGGGCTTCTGGGCATGAAGAGTAACTAAAGTAAATCAATGCCACTTACTTTTTGACGGAGAAGAACGGGTCTTCCAGAGACATCGCGAGCAGCAACAACGACGTCCAAACCAGCTACTGGAAATCTACGGTCAGAGTCGAGAAACTGACCTCAAGACTAGTTTCAGTCAACTCACAACTGTATGTTCCCGTGTGATACTACACAACCACAGCCTTCTTTACACCGCCTGAAGACGGTGCTAAAGCTAACTAAAAATTCAGCGCTGGTCGATGTGATACAGTCCTCCACAAACCCAACAGAGCTCGATCGTTGATGAGCTGAATTGAAGCCAAGGAAAACGTCAAGATCGAACACAAACTTTGCTCAGTGCCCTGAACAACCGCTCTGCTCTCTGAACACATGCACAGTCCCCACTGCACCAGTCAAACACAAGACTTGCATCTATCGGCGCAGCAGATTTGCCGACAAAGCCAAACTAGGGAGTAGTGTTTTACTACTCCCAGTTTTGAAGAAAGTTCATGACTCATCAAAGACATCATCGATGCATCAGTGCATGCAGTCACGTCATGCGAACAGGGACGTGTAGCTGCCAGTAGCTGGTGTGTACAGGAAATCAGTTTTTTTCTCCTCAAAACTACGAGTACAGTAGACAAGCCATGGGCATGGTCCTATCCAGTTTGTGTTGTCAAGTAAAATACAAAGTATTGAGGCGAGATCAAGTGACGCATTCGATCAAAAATTCATGTCTGTGTGCATATCCTAAGCTGCATATGGCAAGCTGTCATGGGTAGCAGCTGAATCCTCAACAATTCATGGTGAGAGCTAGAGCGCATGCGGGGGGGGGGGGGGGAGATAGTTGAAAAATACTGCAAAGGGCCAGAATGCACCAGAACCGACCCACGGTGATTCTCTACAGTTGACCAATCATGACACGGCGTGTATATCCATGGCAATCATCTCCAGTTGACCAATCATGGCACGACACATGTACCGGATCAGTTGAACTTGAAATAAAAACACAGCACAGAAAATAGAAGACAGTACATGTACGAGAAGACCAGCTCCTCGTGAACTACACACACACACACACACACACACACACACACACACACACACACACACACACACACACACACACACACACACACACACACACACACAGAATATAGAAGATACCAGTCCCAGAAATATCGGGATCGACGTCGTAATGGTATAGCAAGAAATATAGGGAAGAAAACGAAAGCAGGGGGTGAGAGCTCCTCAGTTCAGCTGACTGGAACACCAATGAGTGAGTCGCAAATAGTGCTCAATGGCCATGAAGAAGCGTTGGCCAGGCTGCTGATTCTGTTGCTGCCACGCATGCCGGCCTTGACATATCTCTGCTATCTGCTGGGGCAGGAAAGCCGGTCGCTCAATGGTGGGTTGTTGGTGATGCCGATGCGGAAGCACAACTTGCAGTAATCGCTCCCTGGCCTGGGTTGTCTCTAGGAATAGCAGCAGCAGCATCATCAAACCGCCACCACTAAAATCTCTAGTGATGATGATGGCCGGTATGTCCACACACTGGTGGTTGACATGATGGCCACACACACACACACACACACACACACACACACACACTGCTAGTGCACAGCTCATATCAATGGCCTAGGCTATCACTGGGAGTACCTGGTAGCCAAACAGCGTTTCTCCCGTGCACGCACACTCTGCTATACACCAGTAGCAGCATGTGGCCGTGGGGCTGCAACCGAACACCAGCAGCATATTATCATCATCACATCATTGGACCACTGTTGCCATGATATACTCCATCGCCATGCCAGCACGACGACGGGAAATTACCATGGCAACACTTCGGCGCACGTCCTCCTCTGGCCTGCGCGCACGCGGCCCCAGTCGAACTGCTCTGTTCTCTATTTCGGTGTGAATATCGGCAGCGGATGCGCTTCGGTGTTGAAGACGTACTTGTCGAGCGGGACGAGGTTCTTATCGTCGGAGAACAGCAGGAACATGTACTTGAGCGTCTCGCCGA